TATAAATAAGCGAAAAAGATCATATGCGATTAAAAAAAGCAGTATTTTTTAGCTTAGTAATATTTTTGCGTAAATCTTACGATTTTCTAAATTGATCAATCATTTATATATTGCAGATTGTTAGATATTTGATAAAACGTTACAAGTTATAGAACTGCTTTGATAGTTCTAATCATAGAATGGCATCTGTCTTGTATGTTTAATCTATACATTATATCTTTAAATTACATTTAACGTGTCATTTATACAGCTGACCAGCCTCTCAAAAGTTCTCGGACACGACAAAGCCTTGAATCTCAGGGGTCTAACAGTTTTACCATTACGCTTGAGTCCGGAGAAGGATGAGGAATTGCTACGACTCACAGAGAATCGAATCCCTACATTCGCGCATGATCTGGTTCCGGATTATCTAAGAACAAAGTTGGAACCCCAAGCCGAGCAGAAGATGATGCAATTAGAAGCCAAGGCCGCAAACGTTAACATTGACACATCACATGTAAGAAATAATTCTATATCCTCTACGCAAAAAGGGTATTCTTAAAAACTGTCCTACGTTAAAATTATACATCGCGATTGTTTTTCACAGACAATTGAATGTAGGAAAATTTTGAAAGCGTTTAATACTTCTTATTCGATTTAACAAATTCTCCCTTAAGTCAAGTAAAACTCATTGGAAATATTCGAATATCAGATATGTAATTGTGATAAAACTAGAAATTTTTACGAATATATCTGATGACAAGTTTATATAATCTAGTAAGATAAATACATTGAAGCTAACTGAAAATGTTTTATTTTTCTGTTAACGTGCTAACTAAACCACAACTAGGACTACAATGTAAGCTGCTAAATCAGATAGCTTCAGCTTTGTCGGTTCCATTCGCTTTGGGCTGAGATGTTATGTATGCAAGCCTATTTTTTGTAGCTACATAAATAGCCATAGATGTTTGATGTCTCAGATAAACGTTCGCTATGCAGAGATTTTTAAACGGTCCAGTTAGCGAGTGGAACACGTCGATGCTGCTGCTTATTAAGTTCCTCGCATGCTTCTGTTGGGTTGCAGAAACAACTGGCGCAGTATACAAAGGTGATTAATCATGTGTGGGAGATAGCGAATAAGGCGCGCGAAGATTGGGAGGGCGAAGTTAGCACCAGAGCGACACAAGCGCAGACTAGCAGCCCTGCGGATACTCATGCTCTTCTAGCTGCTGTGGGGATGGGTAAAGGTTTGAAAGTAAGTTACAATCAGAAGAAAAAAATTTATCTGAGTTTGAAAAAATCATTGTACGGGCATTATTGCTATCCTAATACATCTATCAGATGTAATACGCGTTCTTATTTCACGTTCACAGTCTGATTCGATACAAATGGTTCAATCTGGCGTAAATCCAGTAGCTAACAGCATGATGGTAGGCAGACCTGGCAATCAGCAGCAAACGACAGGACAGGGGCCACTGGGTAATCCATCAAGTAAATGTTTCTCCGACAACTTCCCTTTTTTTCTCGTAATTATATGCTCATAATAATTTAAAATTTTAAATTAATACTTTATAGTGGGACAAATGAACAAGGCGCCAAGTGCAATAAAAACCAATATCAAAGCGGCATCACAGATCCATCCTTATAGATAAGAATATTGTAGCATCTTTGTTATTTAAGATGTATTATACAATGATATTTCAAACACGGTACGTTCCTAACTTTCTAATTTTTTCTTATAATTTTAATGTAATTTGATTATTGATATGATCCTATAATCTATGATTTTAGTATAAGGCATAATGAAAATAGTACACAGTATGTGTGTTGTCGAGAATAACGTTTTTTATTTAAAAAAGTGTTTTAAATATATTCTCAAGTTTCATATTATAAGTTAAAAATCTTACGGTTTTTAAACGCGGTATAAATTGTACACTCTTTTTTATGCTTAATATTTATTAATTAATATTTATTATTTTTTATAATAATTTTCAGTATTTGTTAGACACGATCGCGTATGACCGAGGAGAAATACACTTGTTCATCACAGGTACAATAACAGCCTCCAAGCCTTGTTCGTGCAACCAGCATAATCGGTCCTGTAGAATAAATGACTCCGCCGGAAGTTGTAACATCATTTGTAATCCAGTGTAGATTTCTACAGCTTTCAATCTTGTACTCTGCTCCTCCCATGCTCGCGTTATGCCCTTCTCCATTTCTTCATGTGTAATTATATTACCTTTATATATGAAGGCCATATTATTTATATATTATTATGTGATTTATTAATCTTATAAGTACTAATTTATCAATTACCTGTTTTGTCCGCATCTGATACTAAATCATATCTTAATAACGAGTCTTTGAGATAAGTTTGAAAATTTGAACATTGCGACTTTCTTGTGCCTTTCCGAACTTTCTTCTTGAGAACGTAATTATCTAGAATTTATGTTCCGTTAATCCATAGAATGTACATACATAATATGATATTGAATACCTACTTTGTCGTGAATATAATTCGAGAACGGCTCTAGCGAGAACGTAAAAAGAATGTTCGTTGTGCTTCTCTTGCGACATTCCGTGCCACTTGTCTGCCGATTCTTGACACGCTAATCGCAAAAAGGATGTTCTTAAGAACTGTCCTACGTCAAAATTATACGCCGCGATTGTTTCTCGCAAACAATTAGATGTAGGAAAATTTTGAAAGTATTGTTTTTCCTGCACACTTTTGGAAATCGAAAGTTTGTGGTAACAACAAGAAATCAGAATGAAAAGTTTAGCAGATTTCATTTTGCAGAAGATTCTTGATGCGCTTGTACTGAGATCTCCACAGGCATGCAGGCCGATTAAACATACGTCTGTAACGTCAGAAAACTCTTGCTGCAGAATAGATTCTATTATATTGGCCGAATCACACGTTACGTCGCAATGCGTGTATTTAACTTTAGTCAAAGAATCGGGGTACAGTTTTTTCTGTCTAGTAAAAGCTCTGCTAATATTCTTTTTATCTCTTTCTAATCCTAGAACTCGATAGCCGTACAAATAATGTAACATTTGACATACGTATCCCTGAAAAGAATATATTATATAGCACGAAAATCTGATATATATATATATTCATCTTTTTTTTAAATATTCTCTTACCAAACCCGCACCCAAATCAATGATCGTTTGTATATCATGCGACTTGCATTGTACGTCCACTAAATAAGCCAAATGCATTATTTCATGTTGTTTCTTTTCACTTAGACCTATCTTAAAATTTTGCGGCAGTTCTATGGAAGGCAATGCAGGTACGAGTGGCAGTCTATTAATTTTTTTACATTTTGCAACGTATGTTTTTAAGGAATCAGGCCAATCGGACTAGAACGATAATTAATTCACTTAATAATTTTAATATTTTATTACAGAATATTCGTGAGATTTCTCTTAGCTAACCTTTATTATTTTTTCCACTACAAAATTATTAAGCTCTTCATTTTCTAAAATTTGTAACTGTTCCAGCCATTCTTTGGGAACTGCATCTAAAGACGTTTTAGTTAATATTTCCGTTACTGGTATATTATGTAGCCACTGCGTTTCGTAAAAGAAGCGTAGTGCTTCGACAAAATATTTTTTTTCGGCATCGATATCCATGTATCATTTAACTAAAAAAAAAGAAAGCTCATTACGTTTTTACTGATAGTAAATATATAATTTGATCTATGTATTTGTATGTAAGAATGAACGAAGGTGAGAAATAAATTGAGCAAAATATTTATTTTATATCCCTTAACTGAGATATATATTTAATATATAAAAATAGCTTAAATTATATAATACTTAACATTATTAACTTAGTATTATTAAGTAACATACGCTATTTTCTCAATTGCTAATATTTATATGTCATAGGAAACGCTTAACAATAGCATCGACACATCTGCGATTCAACGTAAAGGAAACTATCTTCATTATACAAAAGTAACCAAAATAATTCTTTGACATCTAGTTATTCAGTGGCTCGTGCTCGGTCTGTTTCTTCCTGATTTAGCACTAACCAGTTTTCTTTGTGCCTATTTGAAATATCCGTATTTGTAGGTCCAATAAGCGAACGGCCGATTCTGATATCATTTTGGTCGGCTTTTAGATACTTTCCTGCCACATTCAAGAGCTCTTCCTTAGTCACAGCTTTTAGCTGCTCCCTTTGCTTTTGAAGATCATCGTCCGTAACGCCGTATACGAATCTGGCCATACCTCGATTACAAGGAGGAATGGGAGCGTCGATTTGTTGGAAGACTCCCAATTTTGCTTCATCCACTTCGGTCTGAGATAACGGATATCCTGTTAGAAAATCATACGCCTTATCGAACAAATCGAAGGTGCGAGTGGAATTCGGATCTCTGTAGGAATAAAAGGAGAAAATTCCTTCCGATGTTAATTTTGCGCCTCCACCGTAAGCTCCGCCTTTCTCTCGAATTTCTGGATGCAGGTACACCGAGGTGATCAATTTGGATAGCACACGTAACGCTGCATAATCCGGATTCGTATAAGGTACGGTCAGAATGGCCTTGGAGCAATAGTTCACTGTGTACGGCAGAACGTGGTGATTACCGCATTCTTTCGTATCGATGCTTCTTTCACAGGTAATAATGTACGGATCCTCTGAATGACCCTTTAGCGAATCGTAGAACACATGAATATCATTGAGAACGTCATCCTGGTGTTCCTCGGATAAGTTAATGGCTGACCGCAGGTGTTCCTTATTCAAAACATGAGCAGCTATTTCATGCATGTTGTGCAACAGAGAAGTCAAGTCGCACATCTGCGCCACTTTCTTCATCCTCGAGATGTACTGCAATCCCGAGAGACTCTCCTTGACCCGGGCTATCGGGGAGACCAAGCTAGCTGCGCTGCTCATCGCATACATGTGACCGGCGTGCGAGATACCGTTGATCAAGTCGGCCGCATTCATCTTCACGAGTGTCTCAAATCTCTGAAGGTCGGTGAGTTTAACGTTGTTGAACAGCTCCGTCCATAGTTTCCACATATCGTTTGAATTGCGATCCAAGCAGTACGACTCTATGAGAATCCCTTCCTCGTATTTCAATTCGCTCTCCTTGTGTTCGGCGATGTGATTCATGAAGTTCAGACCGCCAGTCTTCAGCTGCATCATCTGATCGAAATGTCTATAATTGTAATTCTGCGTGCCCATCTTCGCAATAATGTAGTTGAACAGCGGTATCAGCTGCTTCAATTCGGTCGGCAGCGCTTGCGTGTTGAGTATTCCTCGATAATAGGAAATCCCGTTTGTGGGTTGTATGGATAGCTGAAGAGGCACTCCGGATATTTCCAAGTCGGTGGTCTCATATCTCTCCACGTCAGCCTTCAGGTCTTCTATCTTAAGCGTCGGTAAGACTTCAACGTTCTCTTTTTTCTGTTGCTCAGCGAGCAAGATCTGTCCGTTTTTATATATCTGTTCCTTTTCCTCTACGGAAAGTTCCTCCAACTTCGACTTCAGCAGCTCTTGCTCGGCGAGCATTTTATTTTCTTCATAATTTTCATTCGGCAACATCGTCAACGTCAATCTATGATTATTATCACTGAGATAAGTCTTGATTAAACATTGCAGGTATTTAGGGTTTTCTCTCATTCGTGATGTGAGTTTCTTCATCGCATCGTTGATTCGCAACGATTGTACCAAGTCGCCGTTATGATTCCACAATGATGTAAGATTGAAGAGCAAATTCAACCCAAAGTTCGACGTTTGATGCTTCACCTGGAGCTCGATGCCGTGCAAGACAGCTTCGATGTGATCCTTCTCGAATCCTTCCTCGATAACTTTCTGCACGGTCTCGTTGAAGATACTCTCGACTTTCTCGAAATCTTCCGGCTTCACACCCTGCAGACTCACGACGAACATCGTATCTCTGCACTGCGAATCAAAACCCGTGAACGGTCCGAAGCCAGTACTTATATTCGACTCGATTAGAGATTTGTAAAATGCTGAATTCGGACCTTTCAGCAACAGCTGCGACAACACGTACATCTCGAAAGTGATCTGTGTGTCAGCTATGTCGTTGCACAAATGCGCGATGGCAATGGTACCATGTCTGCTAGGATCCGCAAGCAGTGGATCGAGTTTGCACTCAACATGTTTCTTTTTAGCTTTGCTCCACCGCTTTTCCACCGGTACTTCCGACATGGAAACGTCCATCCTGTCAGACAAGAAAAGGTACCGATCGTTGACGAATTTCAGATGGTCCTCCAGAGGGAAATTTCCATAGGAATAAAAGCGCGAATTGGAGGGATGATAATACTTCATGTGGAAGTTAAGGAGATCAATGTATTGCAGATTAGGTATAACAAGGGGGTCGCCGCCAGAAATTACAGAATATGTGTGGCTTGGTAGAATAGAATTCAACAAGTGTTCTGCCATAATAGCTTGATTGTCGTTGAAGACACCCTTCATCTCGTTGAAGACCACCCCCTTGAATATGATGGGAGAGTTCTTGTCGTTGACGTCCGTGTGCTCCAATCTCCATCCTTCCTGTCGGAAGTCTAATTCTCGCAGATTCGGTTTGAAAACCGAGTCTAAGTAGACTGACTGTAGATTGCGGTAGTCCTTCAAGTTCTGCGTCGAGAATGGATATATGGTATAATCCGGCCCAGTCATAGCGTTCATGAAAGTGGCTAGGGATCTTCTTAGCATCTTGAAGAATGGATCTCTACAGGGATATCGCTCGCTGCCGCACAGAGTGGTGTGCTCCAATATATGAGGCAATCCCGTAGAATCCATGGGAGTCGTACGAAATCCAATGGAAAAGACATTATTGGTGTCATCCCTGGCCAAATGAAGATACTGCGCACCTGTACTCAAATGCGTCAGCCTCACTGCAGTAAGAAACAACTCATCTATGCTTGAGACTTCATCCACTATAAACCCGTGAAGAACTTCGCCCTTCTTGAATTTAGCCAGTTCATCCTGCGCCAACTCTTTTCTCGAATGTAACGTACTCGACGCAGCACTTATCGATGATCTGAAGGTACGATACGTAACATGCTGCTGTAAAGCTGCGCCTCTCAAAAGCGAATTCTTCGATAACTTTAATAGTCTCAGCATCTTAGAACGATTTTTTACGTTTGAAACAGCAGGGAAATAAAATTTTACCTGAAAATAATGAGACAGCTTGTCATTTGTATAATTTAGGATTACAAAGCTCGTGTTAAAAGCAACATGAAAATTATATTCTATAAGTGTTTTTTTAGAGATAATGATACTTACCGATTCTCTCTTGAACAATCATGAATAAATTATAAATTGTAAAACTTGATTACAACAGACATTCCACTTTACAAATATACAATATCAATTCAAGAAAAAGGCAAATTTGTATTACACGAAAGAAAATGTTAATAACAAATTTTAGAACGTGATGAATATTGATTAGGAATGTCAATTCGTGAAGTGACTAAGACAATTTCTAGGATGATTTTTGACCAAAATGATGCAACATTTGCGGTAACAAGCAGACACCGGTATTGTTCACGAGTCAAGAATAGCGAAGAAATAACCAACAAATCGAAGCCGATATAAATAAACTTACTTATCAATTCGTCTTGTTTTGTTAAAATGACAGTTCGAGACGTTTCCTTGTTTGTTTATTGCAAAATCGTCTGTCAAATATTCTTTGCATTCGTAAAATTGCATAAGAAATTAAATTTCACTTAGATTCCCTTTCAACAGCTTACATCAGCTGACATGCTCAGAAGTCGGAGGTTAAGTTGGACGAACTTATGTTACTTGACAGAAGTGACGTAAGTTACCGTTGAAAATTCATTTGTCTTTTTATTGTCGTAATTTTTTGCTAGGAAACGTCAAACAATTGCAATTCATGAAAAATTATGATGCTGATAATTCAATGTCACACACGCAACAATTATTTTCTATCGTCCACTAGGGAAATAGGTAATATGCCTTCCAACAAGCGACACAAATGACACATGGATCATTATATCCTTGTTGTTTGCCAATGTTAAACAAAGATGACATGATCACTGTGTCGCATCGTGTCGCTTATTGAAAGGCACACATCATGGTGGACAGTATCACTAGTATCTGAATTAATTTGAAGAAAACTGTTGGTAATCCAATAGTATCTATACATTCTGTACTAAAAAAATACGAATTTTCTTTCTCTCTTACATTTATATATTTATATTTCATATACATACACATAAAAAAATATATATATGTGTAAATATATAGAATTTTATATATTTATTCGTATATTTTTTCATTTTCCTTCTCAAAATACTGTCTAAATAAATACAAATTGTAACTATAAATTGTATAAATAAAACACATCGTAGGAATATATTACACATCTATATATTTTATTTCATACAAAACAAACGATTGATTTATAAATCTTATTGCTTTAAATATATATTTTTATGACTTCGGGCAATATATTTATAAAATATATAAAACTATTTGTGATTTGACTTATATATACATATATTGTTTGTCTCATTTATATATCTATTAATCTCACTAATATTGCTCGGTATGGTATGACAATTTGTGCAATTTACACAAGCGATTCTAAAGAAGAAATCTCGTTTAGTTCGGAAAAAATAAAGCGTGCATGAGATTTAATTTTAGAATCACAATTAATACGTGCGATGTAAAATATAATATATGCTTATTAGACTAGAGTTAAGTTATGTTCGGACGAAGTCCGAATTAGAATTATGCTAAAAGATACTGCTAATCACATTTACGAGGTATATGTTTTTAAAAAAATAGAAACAGAATAGCATATAAAATCGAAATTAATTATCGTCCTTTTATATAGAAATTTGACTTGTGGTATAGTCTTCATATATTGGAGAATAAAGCATGAATAAACATTTTTTTGTCAGTTGCAATGGGATATCTGCTGAAAAAATATTATACGTGTTATATTAACACTAAAAGTATCAACGTTTTTTGCTCATTAAAAGGATCAAGCAAATAAATTATTATGAAGATAAAGAAAGTGATAAAAAATCATTTTATCAATATAAAGAACATAATTATTGAAAAGTCAGAAAATTTCGGAATCCTACCTTTTGTACAAGAAATACAATATTAATCTAAAAGATAGAAACGGTTAATAAGTGCTTGATGCTTCTAATGTTAAAAACTACTTCTAGCAAAACTATCTTATGACTAATCTGTGAGGTAAATAGAAAAGACGTAGAAAAGACGGAATAGCTTAAGACACAAGAAAGTTGGACGTGCTGAATCAATCGTCGGCTGACTGTGTCGAATTTTGTTTTAGAACCTTCAGTATATTGGCACGATTCGCGGAGAAGGCGAGGGATAGCACCTCTTCCGCCTGCCGCAGTGGAGTTTTGTTCTGCAAATTGCGCATATTGGTGCATGCACCATATCTGATCAGCAAGCTGATGGACTTGACGTTGCCAGCCACGGTCGCCAGATGCAACGGCGTATCGCCCTTACGATCCTTGACGTCTACGTCGCAGGTCGCACAGTTCAACAGCAGCTTCGCCGCGTCGACGCGGTCGTTGAGACATGCCAGATGCAGCGGAGTACGACCCTCGCACTTGGTTATTACGTTTACATTCGCACCGGCGTCTAACAGCAGCTGTACCATTTTAGTGCGACCGGTCGCACTCGCCACATGTAACGCCGTCTCGCCTAGACCATTGCAGGTGTTGATCGCCAGCGTTCGTTGTCTCTGTTTACGCTCCAGCTTAACTTCACCGAGTGCGGAGCACCGTTCGCAGTCGCAGAGCGGATGATGGCACAGACTCGTACGAACGCCTGACGGCCGCTCGTGATAAATCTCCAGTCCCAGGTAATAACATGCCAGGCATATATCACCATCGACTATAGCAGCGAGCAATTTGTCCATCATACGATGTTGCATCGCGTTGGCATAGCTCTTAGGATGCGACGGACTCTTGTTCTCCAACGTGACCCGACGACGCTGCTGCTGAAAAGACACCGACTGACAAGGTTGAACAAGAGGACGTGGGGATAAGGAGGCAACATTGTTGCAGATGCTGCTTGACGCCGCGTTACATCTGAGCAACTCTGCGATGATTTCGCTGTACGTCACCATCAACGGTATTTGACCCTTCTTGTTGGTCATTCTGCAGTTGGCACCGTACTCCAGGAGGATGTCGACGATCGCGTAGTAGCCCCACCGGGCTGCGAGATGCAGAGGCGTATCGCCGTTGTCGTTTGTGATGTTCGCGTTGACCGGTATCTTCATGTGCTCCGTCAGATACAACAACGCCTTCACACAGTTCTCGTGACCACGATCTACCGCCAGGTGTAACGGAGTGTTTCCCCGAGAGTCCGTTACTGCAGGATCCGCGTTTGCGTGCAGCATCAGCAGCAAAATGTTCTGGTGGCCTTTGATGCAGGTATAATGAAGAGCTGTCAGGCCATCCGAGTCGACAGCGTTTATATCTGTGTCGCGGTTTAGAAGAAAATCCACGATTACAATCTGATCGTGCAACACGGCGACGTGCAACGGTGTTAGACCCTTATCGTCCTTAGGACACGCGTTTAGGTCCCGCTGCTTCGTCCAGTTTCGCTCACAGGACGCACAGGTGCATAAAGGATGACAGAGCGTGACATCATCGACCTCGTTGAATCCATTGTAAGTCAAACTTCTTTTCACCTCGGAGAGATTTCCATTCTTGATGCATGCAAATAAATAACCAATAGATGAACGTTCCGACTGACTCATTAATGTACTGTATTTGTCATCGCTGTAGATTACTCCAGATTTGATATGCATGATCGCGGCTTCCAGCGAAGTTATCAAAAAGCCAGTCTCGTCCGTCTCGTAAGCAGAGCTCGTGGAGAGACGAAATTGTCTCATGAAGTATAATTGTGCCATCCAGTTCGACAGGCCAGCATTGACAATGAAAAACACGAGCACCGGCAGGAGATCGTCCGACGTGACGGACGACAACGTTCCGCGTGATACGTAATTCACGGTTCTTCTGAGACACTCGATCTTGCCCAGTACAGTTACGAAAGAGTCCAATCTTGACAATTCTATCTTTCCTCCACGAACACGAGACTGCAAGTCTGATCGTACTCGGAGATCGCTTAATTGAATCCCATCTAGGTTCCTAATGATCTTGTTCAGATTCGCGTCTTCTACAGTGGTACCGGCGGACAATGATTTTAGCAGTACATCTCTCAAAGCATACAGAATGTAAGTCTCGAGTGACACTCTGATGTTCCAATGATACTGTTTATTACCTGAAGTCTTCTTTCTCAACATCGCGTTATCCAGCAACATCTCGAGACAATCTGCATACAGTTCATGTACCAGATTCCTTTGTGTTTGTACCGATTTGCGCTCCAGATTCTTATTAACATAGAGAAAGTCTTTGATCTTGATCTCGAGATCATCGCGCAGCTGTCTGTCAAGTTCCACTTGAAGAAAATTTACAGCTTCCTGGAGATTCGTAATTACGCTCACACAATTATCCGAAACATATATGTTGGCCTCCAGAGGCCGTTCAGTGCACCTATAAAACAGAAATAACGTCAAGCCAACATTCGGAAATATGACATTCAAGTGTCAGCTTACCATACACAATATTTACGAGAATCATCGCTGTAGAAGATCTCCTCGAAGAGCAGACGCGAGGAATACCGCTCTGCGTCATCGTGCTTGACATATAGAACTCGATCCTCGACCAAGATCTCTCTACCGCTCAGACTGTTGAAGCCGGCGACAGAGAGGTCCTTTCCAGGGACCAGGATGTGAGCATTGACCTCGTCCTCTTCTAATCTACGGTTGATGAAGCTGCCGCTTCGCGGAACGCAGATGATCCAGCCTTCCTGAACAGCTCGCTGAAATGTTGCCTCATGTTCGTCTCGGAGTTCCCGCAGGAACCGATTTTCTGTCAGATCCTCATCGTATCCCGCATTCATGATCGGGGACCGATAACAGAGGTAAGTGTCATGTGGAGGACGATGAAGTGAAACGGTTTGAGGGTCGCCGGTGTTCTTAATGAAATGTCTGTCATCGCGCCGCACAACGTAATTGATGTGAGTTCAGGCTACGAATATAGCGAGATTAAACTGTGTTGAAGTAAAGTTAGGTTAGAGTACTAAGTTTCTACAGGTTCCTATTCTGTAATTCTTAACGACAATCGATCATTATATTGAGGTTGTTCCATACAGCGTGAAATATTTTTTTCAAATGTTTCATTGCACATAAGATTTAAAATATTTATTTCAAAAACTTT